ATATTTTGAAGTTTGGCTATGAAATAACATGTAGTCTAGTAGCATAGTCTAACCTGCACACAATCAAATTGAAGGGAAAAAACTATATAATCACCAAATGCACTATTCATGTAAAAATGTACTGTATAATTACTAAAGTGAAGGGCAATTTGATTTTTGCTACAAAACTGGATTTTCACATTTCAAAAAAATCATTAATGGTGAAAAGTAAACTTATGAATTATTGCTGTTACTCTGGTTATACAGGGATATAGTTCTAAAAGGCAACACAATATAAAAATACCAGTTTTATTCCAATAGTGAAGCTATGAAACAAAATGCCAATCAGCAACATTTATTATTTTCTGTTCATGTAGAAACATACTGAAAGCTAAGAATTATATTTAAAGACCCACACATACTTTATTTCACTTTTACCCTAGTTTTGCCCCTGAATCTGCATATTCAGGCAAAAACATGCATGTCATTAACATCCACTTAAATTATGTTATGTGTAATTTACAGTTCACAAGGATTAATTTGGGCCAACAAACTTTGAAGAAAAAGTTCCTTTGTGAATCATGTGGCAGTAGTAATTGTTATTGCATCCAGCATTCATAAAAGGTTACAGTCCTATTCCAAGTGTCTCTGTCAAAACCTGCCCTTTTGCAATGCATGCTAATACTAGCCCTCTTTGACCTTATATTATACAGCACATTTCTTGCAAGGAATGAAATGAATGATGCACAAGGCCTTCCCTTTGTAGCACCACAGAATTTGGGTGGATTTCCACATGCAGCCTGTGTGCAAATATGGCACCTTTGAAGAACTTAGGAAGAAGAAAGAACTGACACAAGGATGCATTCTGTATGAAATCTTAAATATCTCTTGTGGTATGTGTGTGTTAGCTTGGTGACAACTAATGTATAAGAAGATAAACTTCTAAACTAGGAGAAAGAAGTATAAAATAAGTGACTTATGATGCTTTCTCCCATATTTTTTTCAAATGCACACCTGCTAACCTAATTCCAAATTCAGTGTAAATTTGGCATATGCATTTTGCTACAATGACTTAAATAATGGTAACTACTTGTTACCAAAATACTTGTTTGAATTACTGGAATGTCTTAAGTATGGGATGGCTTTTAAAGATAGTGTTAAGTGTACAGTTGATACAAAACATGGCAGCAAAGGTCTTAACAATGAGTAAGAGGAGTTTAAATTATTCAAGCTCATTTCCAATCCAATCCAAAGTGCCAGTTTTGGTTTAAAAAACTCTCGATGGCTTTGGATCTTGAAAACTCATAGGACACCTCTTCCCTTACAGGTCTACTTGTGCCTTAGAATAATCTGCACACTTTTCAGGACCTATCTCAAGATGGAATGGGACAAAAGCAGGACAGTTACAGAATGCCATCCCTAAGGTAATTTTCCTGATGCACAGAACTATTTTAGCGATAACATTTGGTATGACTGAAAAAAAAAGTAGCCTTAGTGCCATTTTTTATAGATTCTTTTTTTTTCCTCATTTATGTTTTTGCATTTCTCTGTAAAGGGCAAATGTTCAAAATATATATAGAATAAATATAGTACTTGGCCACTGCAGTAGCTGTTTGTTTCCTCTGTGGTTTCACTCTACAGTGCTTGGTCCAGTGTCTGTGTGTGTTCTAAATTCTCATGGCACCACAATCCTTCTAGGCTGTTTTTTTCAATTATTCAGAATATGCTTATTACCCAGTATAGTGTCAGGGCAGTTGTACTGTACAAGCGATTCCATCGTATTCCCAAGACTTCAAAGGTCTTGTCCACAGGTGGGAAAAGAAATCTCAAAAATTTCTGAAGAGTTTGCACTTTTATATGATTATGAAAACACTACTGTTTGGCATGCAATGACTGAATTTAAGTGTTTGCATAGAAAAAAATCAGAGCTGTGTTTGATGAATAGTCTTGACTTATAGTTATGATGTAAGGAAAAAAAAGCTGTAATAAACTTGGGGGGACTTGAGGAAAAACAAAAACACTGTACTATTACATAAGCTATATCAATTATTAAACAAAATAACCTATATTTTCAAAGCCTAAATGAGAAATTTGAAAGGAACTGTGTCTCCTCCTTTCAATATTCCACTGTAAAAATTTCAATAAATTGAGAATTTCAGAAAAAAGCTTGCAATCTTTGTACTATTATATCAAATAATGCAAGGGGGAAAAACATTTTAATAAAGTTGTTTTATTAAAGGGCTGAATGTAGGCTTGGTTGCAGTTAATCTGTGCTAGCAGGATACCCTAAAAGATAAAGTTATGCCCCCACTTTAAAAAAATCCTCCAGGGACGTAGGAAACTCTCCAGAGCAGTATGGAAGGTGATGGAGGAAACTGAAAACTGCCTCTTCTGCCCAAGGAAGCATCCTCTTAATCTCTGTATATGTCTCTAGGAGTTTACGGTCCCATTTACGAATAGACTGAGTTTTTCTGTTCACACAGAAAAATATCTAAATCAAATAATGAGTAACACACACAGACACAGACACACCCCTTCTTGAAAGCTTAAGTTAAAAAGTAACCCAGTATTATTTTAATACTGATAATTATCACTTCAGCATCCCTCTGTAAAGAAGGAATCTTTCACTGAATTTAATAAATACTGACATAGTTATGATCAGATCAATTAGTTTTCCTTCCCACTAAATACACTAACTACTAGCTGTACCTACTGGCCAAGAGAAATGCTGTCCATAGTTTCAAGGTCATGGATACAATGCTTATCATGGTGATATTCTGCTATCAAAAGGATCAGATCTCTGATTTAGAAGTACGGAATCCAGGTCAGTTGAGAAACAAACATATCATAAATACATGACATACTACATCATAAAATGGCTGGACATGACTTGAGAAAGCACCGTCCTCTTTCTCTGTAGTTTATTCAGTATGTCCAGATTAACTGGTAAAAGAAACCAACTAAAAGGACTCTGCAAACAATAAAGCAGCTACAGTAATGTGGATCTTGACCTTAAGCAAAAATTGTCTAATAATAGCATCTAAGCGTGGTGACAATGAAGAAAATGTATCAACAGCTACTTTAGAAATGATAAAGCACTTTGTAAGTTTACTTTCTTCTTGCTTTTCAAACTATTAGATTTAGCTCTAGTTCTGATTTCAATGTTAAGAAGTTCAGGTTCAGAGAAAGTAAAGGAATTCTGAGAAAGTAACAGATTACTTATTAGAATGTGCCCTATTCATTTGAACATCAGAGGGAAAATATATATTTAAATGGTTTAATTATGTGTTTTAATTCCAGAGCCACATGCAGATTTAATTTGCCCTACTATGATATAGATGTAAGACAGATATAAGATAAAATAATATGATAAAAATTCAAATACATGAAAACTAACAAGAAAGGTAATAAGGGCAGAGCCAGTCTGGTCTAGCAGTTAAGGCACCAGGCTAAAAACCAGGAGACTGTGAGTTCAAGTACCACCTTAGGCATGGAAAACCGGCTGGGTGACTTTGGGCCAGTCACTCTCTCTCAGCCCAACCCACCTCACAGGGTGGTTGTTGTGGGAAAAATAGGTGGAGGAAGGAGTATCAGGTATGTTCACCCCCTTGAGTTATTTATAAAAATAATAAAGGTGGGATAAAAAAAATAAAGAGAAATATATGAAAGCAAATTTACTATCATGCAACGTTTTTATAATTGGCCATTTCAACAAACCACTTCTTTGGTATTTAAAAACAAAAGCCTGCCTTCTTTTTTTTTTTTCCATTCTTTTTTCTTCTCCTCTCACCTACCTGGCTGTAGGAGTAAAAGCTGCCTGGATTCTTAAACTACAGTTTCCTGTGAGACCTGAATGAAGACCTGACTGTATCTGAACAAGGAACTGATTATTCACAATTTCAGCTAAACAATGTCAGAATCAGTAGGATATAACAAGCATTTCATTATTAATGGTCAAGATCTGTTGTTGTTTTTTTTAAAAAAATCTTCCTAGAAGCTCTAGCCTTATGCCTTAAACGTTGCTTATACCTGTACGTATTTATTATTAAATAATTTTTTTCTAAAAAAAAGAATGGATATAAGATACAACTGTACTGTGAAGAAGCTTTTTCATACTTATTTTAGCCTTAAAAAAAGTTTCATAAAACCTATTGCAACTTAAGAAGTTATCCTGAATACATTTGAATCAAGCACACACAACTAAAAAATGGTTAAAAACTTGCCCTAAAATATTTAAATGTTATTCTACTTGCACATACATACACAGTGCGTGCACATTCACACATAACCTATTTTCCAAAAAAAGAACAGAGATACAGATCTGTTTTATCACTTTTACATAGGTATCAGTTGCTTTGGATAGTTACAAAACTGGCAGCCATTTCATTATGCACTTAAACTCTTTGTACTCCAACCCGTCAAGAACTGGAACATGAACTTTTTTTTTCTTCTTCCCTTTCCATCCCTCTTCCTTGTATGCCATGTGCTTTAGATATAAACCTGAGGATATGGACTGTTTCAAATCTGAAATCTGAACTGCTCTAAGTTGACTAAGAGTAGCACACAACAAAGCAAAAACAAAACAAGACAAAAACACTTAAATAAAAAAAATACAATCCCTAACAATATATAGACTTAAACTAATGTACGTACATTATCAGTTTCCTCTGCCACAAAAAAAGACACATAAAAAAATGAAACTGTTTTGCATCCCAATTTCTTACATTCTATATTAGCATTTTTACAATGCATAACATTCCTATTGCTTATGAGCTGTTTCCTATGTTTCAGCAATTTTTTACAGCATCATCAAAATGATTACTTACATAATTAACTTTAATAAGTCTACACTTTCCACAAGTCACGAGGACAATTTTAACAGGGTGACTATTTCACCGTGTGACATTCCCTCAATTTCATCACCTGTGCATTTGAGAAGTGATAAGCAAAACCAGCAGCTTCCTCCAGCCTCCCCCCACCCCCAAAGGACTATGAGAACTAACCCTTTTTAATCGACTTACCACGATGTGAGCTGGAGATGGAGACCTGGCATCTTTAAGGGCTTGCCTACTCTGTAGGCTTCCTGCCTGGACATCCAGAAGTGGCCATTTCATCTGGAGATACTAGAAGGAGGAAAAAAGGGGGGAAAATCGTTCAAAAAGGAAATAGACAAGTAAACATTGTGCAACATGGTGAAAGAGAACTAAAATGTATGCAACAAAATGAAATAAAAAATAAAAACAAAAAGCCACACACACTCTTTTTTTAAAGATAATGTTTAACAGTAGTGGTGTAAGCGAATATTTTCATTCCATTACTTTATGAAATTTATCTGACCACCTCAAACTATCCAGATTCTAGGCAGTTTACAGGGTTTACCTATTAAAATTTATTAAAAGAAGGAAAAAGTCAAACTTGATTTTGTTATCTTCTAAATACCTATTCTGGACTAAATTTGGGGAAAGACATTGCCCAGAAACAAAATGGAAAGGAAAGAAATGCAGGACAAACTATCATTACCGTAACTGCAAGAACCAAAATAGTCCTGTATGTCAGCACAGCCCACTTATACTATCTTACTAAAAAGAATGATAATCCCACATTGATAATTATTTGCCCTAAAGCATAATTGTTGAAAAGTTAGAACTTTAAAAGTTACTCTTAGAATCTGCACCTAAGATAACAACCACGGATATTTCATATCTAAAAGGCAATATTTTTCAAAATGGTATGGATATGTTTTACATTTCAAAAATGGAAACATACGCTAAAATTCTCACTCAGAATTATTTAACCCATTATGCATTAATCCAATGGTCCTTGAATTATGCTGCACACACCACTGGTGATATGCAAAAGGACTCTCAGTGGGTTACCACACCATTTCCCAAGTCAGTGCATGGGAAAATCAGAAGGCTGGAGGAAAGACAATGAGAAGGCCCAGAAGACAGTGAGCAGAGGTGAAGGAAGAAGGCAGTTCAGCCAGTTTCCAGTCTCATGGGCTGAGGCATCTGAGTTCTAGTTTTAGGCCTTGTCCCATTCAATAAATGGCTTGACTTATGGGTTAGAAAACATGATTACCAAATTTATAGATGGCACCAAGATGGCAGGATAGCAAACACCTTAGAGGACAGCTTCAAGTTTCAGGAAGATCTTAACAAGTTGAAATATTGGCAAATCCCAGCAAAATTAATGTCAATGGAGACAAATGCAAAGTCCGGGGGGGGGGGGGGGGGAAAA